GGGTCAGTGTTTCAAGACATGTATTTTCACTAATGGTTGCTGAATATTTATACATCTAGTTTGTACTGTTTTGGCTAAAATATATTTTAAAATATATAAATATAATATGTAAAATATATCAGCCAATATATGTGATTTTCATAGTGTAGCGGTTGCCATGCTTGCCTTGTCTAGCAGAAAGTCCTAGGTTTGATTCCCAGAGGAATCACATATCCCTAATGGCGCCTCTTGTGGCAGCCTGTGTTGGTTGCAACACTCGCACTCTAAATTTCCTCCACTGTGGGACCGATGACTTTTGATGCACTAACCTGTTGCTCTGAACGCCCTGTGTTTACCCAGTGGGTCTGGGTGGACTTCCACTACCGTCGCCCACCGTGTCAAAGCTCGCCCGCGGTCACCGTCCACTAGGTAGAACCCAGTCTGCTCCTCTGCCCCAGCAACAGTGCGTCCCGGCCCAGGCTTTGCAGCAGCTGGTGGTCCAGCAGCAGCACCAGCAGTTCCTGGAGAAGCACAAACAAATGTTCCAGCAACAGCAGCAACAGCAGCAGCAACACGTCATCAACAAGGTGGATGCTCATTTTATTTATTTTATTTATTTTTTTTATTAATTGATGAATCACTTGAGCGTTAGTGCTCAATCTTTGCTTCCTGGCGGCAGTGAAGGGGTTAACGCCTGTGAATCCAGTCTTGTTCCAGGGGCAGGATGATTCAGCCTGCAATTATCAAGACTTGTAGCATGTCTTTCTTGTCTCTGTTCGTGTATTGCTACTTCTCTGTAGCCCTGGCAACTGTGCTCTAAGGAAACCCACTCCTAAAATGGTCACACAGGAAGTGAGGTATTGTTTCACTGTACTGTGTGCGTAGATGTGTGTGTTTTCCGAGTCCTTCGAGCTAAGGATTAGAACCGGTTAGAATATTGATATAATTTTTTAAAATCAATTAGAAATTGTATCTCTGTAAACACACACACACATATATATTAATATAAACACATGTCTAAATATATAAACATATGTATGCATATATAAATATATAAATATATATGTATGGATATATAAATATATAAACATATATGTATGGATATATAAATATATAAACATATATGTATGGATATATAAATATATAAACATATATGTATACATATAGAAATATATACATATAAACAGATAACATTTACTATATAGTGTAGCTATATATGTACATACAGTGTGTATATATTTTTAAGAAACATGAAAAAAATAATTTGGTAATGAAAATATTTTTCACAAATGTATCGTAATTTGATTTTTTTTTTGCAATCCAATTGTTAAACAACTTGCAGTTCTTGACCCTCAGGACTAGTACCTCTCCTGCCTGTTGATGTTCACTGAGGTAGTAATGTTTGATGATTTAAAAATTCCATTGTGAAAAAAACAAACCTCCAGTCCAGCATCACATGAACTAAAGATGTGTTCACTGACAGCAGAGAGAAACACTTATGGTTCTTTTCAAGCACTTATTGCTTTAATATGATTCCTTCAAATCAAAGGATTATAATACGTAAGAATGCAACCCCCCCTCCCCACCACCACCGCCCGTCATCAGCTGTATTACTACCACTGTGAGGTTCCTCAGACTTTGTCTTAAAGCAACACATGTTCCCAGTTTCTGTTTGAGTCGGCGAGAATCTGCACATAACATTTAACTTTACGAAAGTACAACACCGCAAATTACTACCTCATGATCTCCGTGAGTACATAATTATGTGAAAAGTATGAGAGAAAACCATGTCTTGTCACTTCAGTTCATGTCATTTGCAGTACTTCTCCCCGGCATTTTTTTATGAAATTGGAGAAATTACTGGCAATTCCAGATTAAGATTAGCGTTAAAAAATAATCCCACGATCTTCAGTTCTCCGACAGAATCTCAGTAAAAAAGTGGTTCAGTTTGAGTTGTAGGTAAATGGATGCAGTAGCACTGATCAGCTAAGTTTGAGTTGTAGGTAAATGGATGCAGTAACACTGATCAGCTAAGACCAGTAAATATTTGAAAAATATATATATATATATTTCCTTTTTTAATCTAATGATGTGATGATTTTTTTCTCACACTGCCCGTCGGCGCAGCTCCAGGAGACACTCTCTGGCTGGACATGGATTTTTTTTAATAGCTGGCCCAGCATCTGAAATTAAAGCCATATTTTTCTAGCTGTTCGTGGAACCTTGGATTCATGTTGAATTTCTTAAACATGTTCAAATAGGGCCATTAAATTATACAGTCGGAGTCTGATGATGAGTTGTGAACCAAGGAAACAGATTTTTTATTTTTAATTTTATTGAACACAGATAGAATCATACTTTTGGGCTCAAGTCGTGGTGACTTGGACTCGTGTGACTGATGGACTTGGAACTCGACTTGTATCTCAAAGTTTTGACTTGACATGGGATGTGATCAGTTGAATGACTTAATTAAAATTCATCGTTCCTCTTCGAATATGAAGTTAAATCAGGCATGGGCAAACTAAGGCCCGGGGGCCGGATGCGGCCCACCAAACGTGTCCAAATTATTAATTATTAATTATTATTAATTTCTATTATCTTTATACTTCTGCTTTTTCTCTGCAATGCCCGCATTACTCCAACAGATGGCGTAAAAAAGGCTTAAATGAAAAGGCTGTAACCTGTAATGACTTGACTTGGAAGGACTGCTTAAATGAAAAGGCTGTAACCTGTAAAATGACTTGACTTGGAAGGACTTGTTGTGTTGAAGGAATTTTAGACTCGATTCGACTCGACTCAGCTTCAGTGAACTTGTCTTGACTCGACTCACCTCGACTTTACTTGAATGGACTTGACCGGCAGAAAGATACCCCGTGACCCGAGTCACTCGAGACTTGGGTTTTTACTTGAAGTTAGCACAGGTGACTCGGTTCTATCTCTGTCCTGTAGCGCGGACATGAATTGATTATTCATTAGAATATTATTGACAAACATAACCCTGAACTCCTGACGCTGCTTTCTGACAGTAAATCCTGCACACGTTCCCCACAGACACGGACATTTCTTGGTACCGGGGATTCCACCGAAACTCCATAGAAACTGAAGTGCTTAAATGAGGTCATATCTGGACACAAACATTAATCAATGTCCAGTTGTTCTTTGTTTTTTTTTCTTGTGGAGAAATTCTAGTGAACGTCAGGCTCGAAATGTTGTGCTTGAAGAGGTGGACTGTGTGTGTGTGTGGGGGGGGGGCGGGGGGATCCTCGTCTTCCAGGGGTGATAAGACTCAGCCCCGTAGGCAGCCCTTTGATTGGACGTTTGGATGTTCACTGGACATTTTTCCAGTATTAATGTTCTCTGTTGTACTCACAGTAGCCCTGTAACGCAATTTAATTTGAATAGATTGCGTATCCCCAGCTAGTCATTGCCTTTGTTTTGCCTTTTAACTGCCTTTAAAAGAACGTGGCACCGGGGAAAATGTAAAAGTAGCCCAAGGAAACAGTTTATTGCCGCGCAATAAAATTAGGCTCTTAAAATCTGCAGCCGACTTTTGTTAAACATGAGCGAGTACAATGTTCCAGGCAGAAGCAGTCCCCGCAGAAAGATTGAAATACAGCGCTCGGTTTAATCGCAGTGATAAAGTCCACCAGTCTTCCTCTAAATCACTGGTTCTCAAAGACGGGTGTGTGTACCACTAGGGGGACAGGATAGCACTTCAGGGTTTATGGGAAGTTTACAAAAAAAACAAACAAACAGTATATTCTGTT